CGCTGGTACGATTCGGAGAGCGAGTCCCCAGCCCGCTCGTACAGCGACGTCGCACGCACACTGCCGGCTATGCCCGCGCCGCTCGCTCTCCTCGCTCCCGCACGCGCCGTCGACCCGCCTCGACTGCCCGTTGCGAGCCGCATCGGCCCCCGCTCCGAGGTGCACCGTGCCCCTGGCGGCGTCCAGGTCGACGCTGACGGCTTCCAGCAGCCGCGGCGCCAGAACTGTCGCCGCCGCCCTCGCCAAGACGACGAGCCCAGTACGACTCCACGCCAACGGCGCAGCCCATCCCCGGAAGAGGTCGCTGGACTCTGCTTCCGCTGCCTCGACCCTGGTCATCATGTTCGGGACTGCACCAACGACATTCGGTGTCGCCGATGCTTGGAATCCGGTCATGACTCGCGCTCCTGCAACCCACGGCGCCGGAGAGCCGTCCAGGCCAACCCTGACCACGCTCGCCCTGCTGCTCGGGCGCGGGCGCCCCAGGCCACGCAGCCACCTCCGCCTCCTCCCGCCGCCCCGGCCGTTGCGCCCTTGCCGCGCGCGCCGGAGCCGGTGAGGATAATCATGTCGCATTTTGTGGAGATGGAGGAGGCCGAGGAGGTCCTGTCCCGAGCAATGGTGGCCTCCATCACCGGCAACAGGCCGACCGTGTCCGCTGCCGAGGTGGCTGATGTGCTCCTGACCTCCCTCGAGCTCGAAGACGGCGACTTCACGGTTCACGCTAACCACCCCGAGGATTTCTTGATCCTGTTCAGCTCACGCACAACTATGCGCCGCCTCAATGGAGACCACTTCATCAGCTCCCCACGGTTCACCCTCTTTGTCTGGCCGTGGAGCAAGCTGGCCCATGCGGGCTCTGGCCAGTTCGAGTATCGCGTCGAGCTTGAGCACATCCTGGGGGAGAGCTGCTGGATCGAGCGGCTTCACCCCCAACACACGCTCCGGAGAGGACATGGCCACATTCTGGCTGGCAGGGAGCACGCATGATCCGGCCAGCATCCGCCGCGCCGCTGTTCTTGAGATCGTGGAGCAGATTCCAGCAAGGGTGCGTTCGGAAGCGCCAACCATCAGGACCCTCACCTACCCAATCTCCATTGCTCTTGCTCGGGCGCAGAGGATCGGAGCCCCTGCGCCTAGCAATCAGGGGAACAATGGACCTGGCGCTGGTGACGGAGATGGCGCCGGAGACGGCCACGACCATGCTCGAGGCAATGGCCGGGGCCGGGCACGTCGCCGCGGCCACAAGCGCCGGCGTACGGAGGCGCCACCTGCTGGACATGCGGACGGCATGGCCGTAGACACCCTGGGCTGGCGTCCTAGGGGCCGCTCCGTGCGCGCAGATGGTGTGTCCGTCGCGCATGCATCGCCTGTGCCGCCAACCGTCGCCGCGCCGCCGTCCGTACAGGCTGGGAGATACTTCATGGGCCCGTGGCCAGGTCAGCACGGTCGGGCGGATCAACAGGACCCCACCAACCCACGTCAACGTGCCAGAAAAGGAAAAGGGAAAGGATGGCAAAGGCAGGCTTTGGCCGCGGGCCAAACTGGCCCTGCTGCAGCTGCTGATGGAGACGCCAGGACCGGGCAGGAGGGGACAGCGGGTGGCCCCCAGATCGATGCGCCCGCGCATCCTACCAACGCAGAACCCCGCCATGTGCCAAGCATGGCACTCCCATTGGCGGCAAACACCCCAGAAGGATCAGGAGATTCAAACACCGCCCCATCCCCTGAGGAAGATAGCGTGGATCCCGCAACTGGCTCGCATGATCCGAGGGACTGTCGGTACCTGCCCGATCTGAGCGAGGTGCCAGACTCGCAGCCCGTGACAGCTAGTTTGTCGAGGCAAAGCGGCTGCTCGCCAGCTGCACCACCTGACGTGGCCATGTCTGCCCCCGCGGACCGGTCCTGCGGGACCCACGAGCGCACCACTGGGAGCACGGATGCATGCCCCGTCACGAGCGCGGTCCCTCCTGCAGAAGCAGCCAGCCCACCACCCCCGGCGATAATCATGCAAAGGCCCCAGGCCCAGCAGGCCCTGGCGAGGCCCAGCTCAGAACTGGAAGCCCGCACGCCTGCCTCCAATCGCCGAGGCCCAAGCACTCCCACTGAGGGGCGATTCGCTTCCCCGCCGATCACCATGAGACCGTCACGGGCCCGCGCCCCCGTGTCGCAATCCTTAACGCTGGGTGAATTTCTGGCGGCTGCAACCAAGCACATCGCCGCAGCCTTGCCGACGCCCAGGAGGAGGCCGCGCAGGCCCCTGAACTTCGCCGCACGCCGCGGCCGCTCTGCAACCAACTCATCCCCGACGGCGGCGCCCCCCACAGCCGAAAGACACGCGCACGTCCAGATCTTGCGCACCCTGGGGATCATTGGGACGAACCAAAAGATCTCATCCGCCGAGATGCAAACCTATGAGGGCATGTTCGCAACGCCCATCCCGCTCGCGGTGCTCAAGGCCATTGCTGCCCTGGTCGATCGAGAGATCCCGGAGGGTTTGACCAGCCTGCCGACCACACCGGCACGGGTCGAGGTTGCGTGTGAAACCTAGGAGAGGCGCACTGTTTCGCTCGTCGATCCAATGTTCATGGAGATCACGGCCTCAGGATGGTAGTGTGGAATGTGCGTGGCCTTAACGCACGCACTCGGCGCTTTGCCGCCCGCTCGCTGTTGGACACCACGGCTGCCTCCATTGTATGCCTACAGGAAACAAAGATGGAATTGCTCTGCTCGTCGGTTGTGCTCGACACCCTAGGCTCGGAATTTGACGATTACACATATCTCCCGGCAAATGGCACGCGAGGCGGCATTCTTCTGGCTTGGAAGAGCAGGGTTGTATCTATCACGCACCCTCTGTTCACCACGAACGCCCTCACTGCCACGGTGACCACGGCCACGGGCGTACCCTGGTGGATATCGGTCGTGTACGGACCCCAGGATGACACGGACAAAATTGCGTTCCTGCAAGAGCTCCGGGACATCCGTGCGGCCTGCCCCGGACCATGGATGTTGCGCGGAGACTTCAACCTCATCCTACGCGACGAGGACAAGAGCAATGGCAACTTGAATAGGCGAATGATGGGCAGGTTTCGCCGCCTTGTCAATGATCTCGCCCTGAAAGAAATTTACCTCAATGGGCGCCACTTTACATGGTCCAACGAGCAGTCCCCGCCTACCCTGGTGCACCTAGATCGCGTGCTCTGCACCTCGGACTGGGAAGACGCACACGGCGAGTGCCATCTCCGCTGCCTTGCGTCCGTCGTCTCAGATCATTGCCCGCTGCTGTTAGACTGCACACCCATGCCCACGGCATACAAGCGCTTCCATTTTGAGGATTTCTGGCTCAGGCTCGATGGATTTCAAGACACGGTGGCCGCGGCCTGGGGCTCGATTTTCGACCCGGACCCCTTTCACCGCTTGATGCTGCGCCTTCAGGCCACAGCCCGTAGACTCACCAGCTGGAGTGCCAAGTCTACTGGCAGCATTCGGGACCGAATGGCCATTTCCCACGAGCTCATATCACGGTTCGACAAGGCCCAGGAGGACCGCGCTCTATCACCGCCTGAAGACTGGCTGAAGAAGCACCTCAAGATCACATACCTTGGCCTTGCGTCCCTGGAGCGCACCATTGCCAGGCAGCACACGCACATTGCCATGATCAAGGAGGGCGACGCCAATACAGGTTTCTTCCACCGGCAATGCTCTTTTCGCTGACAGAAGAATCGAGTATACAGCCTTGCAGTGGATGGGCACATACTCACAGACCAGGACACGATGGCGCGATCTGCTTTTGAGCATTTTGACAGGATACTAGGCTCGGCTGCCGACAGGGAGCTCACGCTGGAGTTGGACCAGCTCATCGAGCCTTGCGACCTCTCCAGTTTGGATGCACCATTCACCGTGGAGGTCTAGGACGCGATCAAACGCCTCCCCGCCCGCAAGGCGCCGGGACCTGACGGGTTCACCGCCGAATTCTTGCGGGCCTGCTGGACAACTGTTCGACATGACTTCATGGATGCCTTTCAGCAGCTGTTCGAGATGAGGGGCCGCGGCTTCCACAAGCTAAACCAAGCCCTGATGACCCTGCTTCCCAAGCGAGCCGATGCCCAACAGCTAAGCGACTACCGCCCGGTTTGCTTGATACATCTTGTGGCCAAGATCTTCGCCAAGGTCCTCTCGTTACACCTCGCCCCCAGGCTGGATGCTCTAGTTAGCCGGAACCAAAACGCATTCATCCAGGGCCGGAGCCTCCACGACAACTTCATCCTAGTCAAGCAATCTCTACGGATGCTACACCAGCTGGGGCTCCACGGGTCATGTTGAAGCTCGACTTAACGCGCGCCTTCGACACCATATCATGGCCATTTCTCTTTGAGGTCCTGCGACAATACGGGTTCGGAGAAAGATTCATGGAGTGGCTCGCAATCCTGCTTTCGACAGCGAGCACTCGCGTCCTGCTGAATGGAGAGCCAGGACCCCCCATATGGCACCGCGCTGGCCTGAGACAGGGCGACCCCGTGTCCCCTCAGCTCTTTGTGCTCGCCGTGGACACGCTTGGCAGGCTGATGCGCCGGGCTATGGACGTCGGCATCCTGCGGCAACTCCATCCCAGGCGCCACATCCCGGCGATCTCTCTATGCGGATGATGTGATGCTATTCTGCCACGCCACACCGGAGGATGTTGCCGCCATCAAAGGAATCCTAACCCTATTCGGCAAGGCGAGCGGGCTGCTGGCGAACTACGCCAAGAGCTCGGCCACCACCCTGCATGGCAACCCGATGGCCGATGAGGCGACCTCTCAGCTTGGATGCCCGGTAGCGCAGCTCCCCATATCTTACCTCGGCATTCCGCTGACGACACGTCAACCCACTGCCACCCAGCTGCAACCCCTCGTCGACTCGGTGGCTGCCAGACTCCCGACTTGGAAAGCGTGGCTCATGAACAAGGTTGGGCGACTCGCCCTGGTCAAGTCCGTTCTGTGCGCGATTCCCGTGCACCAGCTGCTCGCGTTCGCCCCGCCTAAGAAAACATTGAAGCAGCTGGAGAAGATCCTGAGAGGTTTCCTGTGGGCCGACCGCGCCATTGCCAATGGCGGACACTGCCACGTCAATTGGCGCCATGTATGCAGACCCATCGAGTACGGCGGCCTAGGGGTCCGCGACCTTGGACGCGCTGGGTTGGCGTTGCGCATACGATGGATGTGGCTTGCCCGCATGGACCCTGACCGCGCCTGGCAAGGGCTCGACATGCAATTCACTAATGAGGAGCGAGCAATGTTCTCTGCATCAACCACCATGAGCATCGGCAATGGTTTGACGGCACTGTTCTCGGAGGATAGCTGGATCAACGGGCAGTCTGTCCTTGACATCGCCCCACTACTCTACCAATGCATCCCCAAGCAGCGACGCAAAGCACGGACGGTTGCCGAAGGGCTAGCCAACAACACTTGGGCGCGCGATATCCAGGGGACACTGGGGCTGCATGAGATAGGCCAATACTTGCTCCTCTGGCAAGCTCTGAGCCACACCACCCTCTCTAACGAGCCGGACCGCTTACTCTGGAGGTGGACGGCCAACGGCCGCTACTCGGCGCAATCATGCTATGCGGCAAGTTTCCAGGGTTCTACACGATGCCCCTCATGGCAGCTGGTATGGAAAACCTGGGCACCACCAAGGGTGAAGTTCTTTCACTGGTTGGCAGCCCAAGATCGCTGCTGGACGGCTGAAAGACTCGCCAGGCGCGGGCTGGATCATCACCCCAGGTGTCTCCATTGCGACCAGGCAGTCGAAACGCTACAGCACCTGCTCCTGGCCTGCCCCTTTGCACGCCAGACATGGCACACCATCCTCGACTGGCTCCAATTGCCGGCCCAGCCGCCTGATCAAGAGCCCAACGTCATGGAGTGGTGGCGGCGCGCAAGGGAGAGAACACCACCGGCGCATCGCAAAGCCCTCAAGTCTATCACTTTGCTCGTCCCCTGGATGATATGGAAGCACAGGAATGCATGCGTCTTCGACAATGCTACACCATCTATCGCAACGCTAGTGGATAGGATCAAAGAGGAGGCCCGGTGTTGGGCAAAGGCAGGCGCCCAGGGGCTTCGGTTGTTCTGCCCACAACCTGGGATGTACATTGACCGATTACAGAACCATGTAACAACACACCTCCTAGGAGGTCTTCCATCTTTTCAATGAAATGAAACGCAAAGGCTTTTTGCGTTTTCTCAACAAATTATCCTAATAGGTTCAGAGGTCCAATAACAGGGTCAGACCGGACCGGTTGAATTTTGGATTTATCAGCGAACAACACCATTCTCTAAGTTTGATCACACTATGTTGGGTCGACACAGTGCAGCCCAACTACCCGAACCAGGTTACATAGATGGAGCACGTCACTCGCCCATGGCCAATGCACTCGTACCATGCAAGCCTGCTTCCTTCTGTTGTAATCCTCCCATTGTATACTCACATCTAAATACCTTGTCAGTGATGAATATAGATACACGATGATTTACACTATTAATTTTGCTATCCAACAACCTCTTCCACTCTTCCGCCATGTCCAATGACCCCGATGTTCGCAACCTCAGCGGCAGCTGCCAAAGTTCCTCCAGTCATGGCTTTCCCTGCTGCTCCCATGATGAATATGTCGGCCTCTCTCGGTGACGCCTTCACATCGAGCATGACGGTGTCGCTTCCTCTCGCCGCATCTGTCACCAGCTCCGACGTGCGTGACAGCCCTAGCAAGCCGTCCATGCACCACATCAACATCACCTCCTACATCGGCTTCAAGCTCAATCTATCAGCGAACAACTACTCCAAGTAGTGTCGACTCATGTACTTCGTCCTTCTCCAAATACAATGTGCAGAACCACGTCCAAGTGGAGACAGATCCACAGCAAGAGAGCGACGGGTGGCACCATGACGACATCACCATTGTCCTCCGGTTCTACACCACCATCTCCAACGAGCTCTTTGACGTCGTCATGTCTCCGCACAGCACAGCATATCACGTGTGGAATCAGACTCACACCTTCTTCCGCGACAACCAGCCGGGACATGCTATCCATCTCAACACAAAGTTCCACACCACCATCCTAGGTGGCCTCTCCATCGCCGACTACAGCCGGCGGCTCAAGTCCCTCGCCGACGTAGACAAACTCGCGTTGGACAAAACCCTCATGCTACAGATGATCCATGGGCTCAACCGACGTTTCCAGGTGATGGACACTGCTCCCTATGCAAAGCCCTTTCCCGACCTTAATGCGGGTTCTCTCGTGTCTTCTGCTTGAAGAGATCACACTCATTTAGTGTGAACACAGCGAGAGATCCTTCCCTTATCATGGAGGAGGAGCTCTCGCCACGTTCACACTCAGTGAGAATGATGTCAATCTCTTCAAGCACAAGACGCGAGTATCACCTGCACAAAGGTCCGGAGAGGGATCTGCATAAGGAGCACCATGGCCATCCCTAGAAACGTTGGTTGCGTTCTCAGATCATCTGCAGCGTGAGGATTTGTCCAACACAGGTTCGTCGACATCGGCAAAGGACTTTAGTCGGCGACTGTAGGGGGCGATTAGAGGTTGCTCTGGACAGTGCGCAAAACTTCGCGTTGAGATGGATAGCACGCCCTAGCTGGTTGTTGCAGAAGGTGTGAAGTTGATTCCACATGTGGTACGTTGTGTTGTGCGGAGACATGACGACGTCGAATAGTTCATGGGAGATGGTGGCGTAGAACTAGAGAACAATGGTGATGTCGTCATGGCACCACTCAACGCTCTCTATCCGTGTCCACCTAAACGTTGTTCCGCATACTGTATCTGGAGAGGACGGGGTACATGACTTGACGATACTTGGAGTGGTTGTTCACCGCCGGATCAAGCTTGAAGTTGATGTAGTAGGTGATGTTGACGTGGTGCATGGGTAGTGGAGGCATGCTAGGGCCGACACGCAGGTCTGAGCTGGTGACTACCTTGGCGAGAGGAAGGGACGCCGTCATGCCCGATGTGAAGGCATCACCAAGAGAGGCCAGCAGGTTCACCATGGGAGTAGTGGGGCAAGGAGTGATTGGAGGAACTTCAGCAATTGTGGCCTTGGTGTCGGCAAAAAGTCACTGAGGTTACTATCAATCACTGGACATGACGAAAGAGTGGAAGAGATTGTAAGCTCTAATACCAAGAAGTGTAGTCACCGTGTACCTATATACATGAGTATCCAACCGGATTCAACAAAAGGAGGTGTGTGTGCTACGTGCAAGCTGAGCATGGCGTAACGCGAGCGCGCTGGCGTGGGCGATCGGTGCGCTCCATCCATGTCGTCCGGTTCAATAGTTGGGCTGCACTGTGTCTATTCGTCCAACAATCCTCAAGCACTAAAAGTTAAATTATCAGGAAACAACACCATTTCTAAGTTTGATCAAGGTATGATGCTAAGTTGTGAATGAGTGTTCAAGCAATTATTTCACTAAACAGCAACCTGAAGTGGTTATCATATAACTAAAGCGACAAAGACCAATACTCAATGCAATATAAAGTGATAAAAGATGGTGAACATCCATGTTCAAGTGAAAGGAGGAAGTGCTACTGCAGAAAACCATACTAATACTAACAAGTAAATCGTCACCTGATCAAATAACTTCCCATTTGAATTGACATTAAATTCAATGTTCAGATCTTTGAGGCCACTGCTGAAGGCCTTGCTATTTGGAATAGTCCATCTCCATAGATCTCCATCCTCGATAAACTTGAAAAGCTTGTGCACCATTTCAAGCTTGTTTTCAGGTAGATATTTCATTTCAGTTACAGAATTACCACTTCCATGATTCCGTGAAGTACTAGCTTCTGTTAATAACTTGTTCCTAAAGTAGTCGAATGCAATTGTTGCTCCACTGCGTTGCATGTCAATCACCTTATTCACATTTTCTCCAAGTGTGGCACTCCCACACAGACTTTCCATGGCAGTCTTATGATGGTCTAAGATTGTTACACTGAAAAGGGTAAAACGATGTAAGTGTCCCCAAGTGCCATTCTCCCAACTGAAAAGATGGTAATAAATCAAGGTTGTGTGCATCAATCGATGAAGAGGCCGGGGGCATGCCTCCTTTTTTAAAAGAAAAAGAGTGACATTCTCACACAACTTTCGGCAGCAGCCTTATGATGGTCCAAGAATGTTACAGTGGAAAAGATAAACAACTATAAATATCCTAGTATTGCCAAGAAAAAATATAGTGAAAGCTTCACAGTTCCACAATATTCAAAATGATTGAAGGCCACAATGTGTTACAAACATTGCGAATGCCCTGCTACTGTGCATAAAATTAGGAAGAATCACATCCACACGGTTCACATCAAACAATGTAAATAATGCAACACAAAGGGAAACGGTCAGAAATGAATCTTTACAGACCTCTGAACTTTCGGGGCTATATCAGCAACAAAACCAGGAGGCCCTACGAAGTCAAGAAGGTAAACATCTTCAATTTCGTCAAACGGAAGACCATCACTCCTGCAAAAGGAAACCCATAAGATCAAGGTTATAACAGGAGAAACACAATATCGTCGGTTTTCTTTTAAGGTACAAGATCATCGTTTTGGGTCTGCTCTGCCAAGGCTTGTATAGCATGACAACAAAAACACTAATGAGTTCTGGGTGATATTTTCGACCATTCCAATCAACCACGACTAATGATGTATTGAAATTTAAAGGAAGATACTCAATCCAGTTCAGACTATGCCCAATTTTGTCTCGAGATAATATGACTCCAGAGCATGGGTCCTTTTTATGTGAAATATAATTTCTAACTTGAGATGATCTTTTTGGTCGGGATACAGATTTGCACAAAAAATTGGCATGCACCTAGCTTAAACGAACTAACGACGCCAGGATTTGTCAAAGTGACACTACACCTGAAAACTGCAAAGGTAACGCCCTGTCAAATCTTACAAACACTGACTGTCAAAGTGAGCACCTGAAAAGCGCGTGAATCGTACAGATTTGATATCGTGCGTTGATCTTATGGTAGGTCAGGTCTGAAGTTCGGAAAGACTACCTGATGGGGTCATAGACGGTGTTGGGGAAGAAGCGGACGGGGAGGGCGGCGGCGGAGAAGTAGAGATGGGCGGCGAGCGCGGCGAATGCGCCGTCCGGGCACGGGTAGTGGTACAGCACGGCCGATACCTTCCGCGCAGAGCCGGCGGCGCAGGCCATATGTATTGCGGCGCCGAGGCGGATGACGAGCTTAGACGGGAAAAGCGGCGCGGCTGGGGCGGCGGGCGGGTGAGTGGGTTTCCTGGTTTCGTGGTTTTGGCAACGACGAAAATAACGTAGCTCCAGTAAAAAAATATTTCAGTAAAGTCGTTTTACAGGATGACCATACAATTTTTTCGAGGAAAGGCCATCATGGCTAGCTTTATTGAAATCAAATAATAGATACATCGTCTACGAGTTTGCTGTCCAACACGTCAGGGGGCTCGTTCATCCAAACCAACGAGATCTTATTACAATAACTATAGTTTGCTAGCACATGCGCTGCTTGATTCGACGATCGATAACAATATTTATAGATGACCTTCCCAATTAACGTAGTTGTGTCCACACACTTCGCGAAAATTGTTGCCGTTGCATCCCACCATCTCGACTGATCCGTACAAAAGTTGGTGACTTGCATAGAATCAGACTCAGCTTCCAATCGATTGAACCCAAGAGAATTAGCTAGTTCAAGACCATCCCTCATGGCCATAGCTTCAGTTGTGACTACATCAGCAGCAAACGGAATAAATTTGCAAGTAGCCGCAATAAAATTACCTTTTTCATCTCGTATTATCGCTGATGTTGTTCCCATTCCTTCATCCTGATAGTACGCCGCATCTACATTCACTTTCACAAATTTGGGGTTGGGTTTAACCCATTTATATTCCTGAGGCCCGAAGGTTTTGGTAAATGCCTTCTCATAATTGCTTGCAATAGCCAGTACAGAGACCGGCCATCGGACTATCGGAGGGACAGATTCATTATGTGTAATACGCCTTCTTATCCACCATAAGTACCAGCAGGCGACCGCGATTACCTGCTTAAAATTCAGACATGGTTCAAGGATTTGGGGACTATCCGGCATTAGAAGTAAATACTCCAAGATCGCTGAATCGAATCTATCAACAACACTAGCATGGTCAATTATCTCAGACATCCTCAAGCATCGCCACATCTCCTTAGCATGCAGACAAGTGAAAAGCAGGTGGCAGAGATCCTCAGCACCTTGGTGGCATATCGGACATGCTCCATTAGTCCCTATATGCCTATTCATTAGTATTGACTTTAGAGGGATTATTCCATGCAATACCCGCCAGCAAAAGATCTGAACTTTACGAGGAATATTTAGTTTCCAGAGTATACTCCATATTGCCAAATGGGTAGAGCCACTCGGGACTGAATTAATATTTGTATGTTCTCTGAAGGTATACATCCACTGTATTTTATACGCACTTCGGACAGAAAAAGTTCCAGTTTTATTTTCATGCCATGCGATAAAATCATCAAAAGCTTGGTGGTTCAGCGGGATTTGTAAGATCCTTCGCACGTCCACGGGGTTGAAGATATTAGTGAGCAGTTCCTCGTCCCAGATTCCAGTATTTGGGTCGATGAGATCACTAACCTGTGATAAAACTGTTTGGCCACGGGGTGTAATTATTTTCCTGTCTGGGCTAGCCGGAATCCATGGATCACACCAGATGTTTACTTCCTCACCTGATCCAATTCTCCAGATGTAACCCTTCTTAAAAGTTTCTAGACCTTTCAAGATACTTTGCCAAGTGAAAGACGCCCCCTGTTTCGGTGTAGCTTGTAGCAAACTCCCATTTGGATAATATTTAGCTTTCAAAACCCGAGCACAAAGGGAGTCTGGGTCTGTGATTAATCTCCAACATTGTTTAGCCAACATGGCTAAGTTAAAAGAATAAAGGTCCCGAAAGCCCATACCACCTTCGCTCTTTGGAAAACAGAGTTTCCACCATGAATACCAGTGCATCTTTCTATTCTCTTCATCATCTCCCCACCAGAATTGAGCTATTATATCTGTGATATCCTTGCAAACACCCTTAGGTAAACAGAAAACCAACATAGCAAAAACAGGGATGGCTTGGGCCACCGCCTTAAGTAGAATCTCTTTACCTCCAGTGGATAACTGTTTCTCCATCCAGCCGATCAATCTAGCTTTGATTCTTTCTCGAAAGTGTTTGAAGCAATCACTTCTGTCTGCACCCACAATAGCAGGTAGGCCAAGATATCTATCTGATAATGCTTCAGTTACAATATGTAAAATTTCACAAACTTCAGTTCTGGTTACCACAGGTGTATTTGGGCTAAAGAAAATACTTGATTTTGATAAGCTCACCATCTGACCTGAACTTTGGCAATAAGTGTCTAGTACATGCTGTAAGGAAGTTGCATTTAGGACATCCGCTCCCATGAGAATTAGAGAATCATCAGCAAATAAAAGGTGTGAGACTGATGGTGCATTTCTGCACACTCTAACCCCATCAAGGCTACCAACTTCTTCTTCAAACTGCAACATACTAGGATGACCATACAATTTAATTTAGGGGAAGGTTTTTTTTCTAGTGGTTAGGGGAAGTTTTCTAAGAGCATCTCTAGCGGATCCCGTATAATCTCGCCGGGGTGTGTTTTCCGGCAGTTTTACGAGATGGTTAAAAAATCTGGCCCGACCAGGTCCGGCAAAAATGGCCCGGCCCGTAAAATCTTTATAGAGGCCCGTGAACCGCTCGCGATTCTGGTATATATGCCGGCTCCGGGACGATTTAGGGTTCCCATCCTTCTTTTCCCCATTCATCTCCGCCGTGTTGCTTTCATTCTGGCATCAAATCGGGCGACTTTCGGCGTCATTTTCCGGCGAGGTTAGGCACCCGAGGTGAGAGGAGATGTCGTGCGCGGGATCCGGGAGGGGTGGCCAAGGGGGGCTCAGCGGCGACCCGCACCGCAAGCGCGGCCACGATGCGGAGGCCGGGAGCTCCTCCCTCCGCCCGCTGGTGAAGGAATGGCGGAAGGAGCAGGCGCGCATCCGTGGCGCCCACTCCCGCAGCGCGGATGCACGGGCGTGGAGAAACTTCAACAGCCTCGGCCGCATATTCTCCCCCACGCTCAAGCGTCACCGGGCACCGGAGAAGGCGTGGTTCGAGGCCAAGGTGGTCGCGCCGCCGAAGATGAAGCTCCAGGCGCATGCGTCCCAGTGTTCTTCGATGAGTACAAACTCGCGCGAGTCCTCTCCAATACCTTCATGTAGCACCACCTCCACGGCAACCTGCCCCGCGACGACGGCGACGACGACGATGAGTAGATCTAGTATGCTAGTATGCACCCCGACTGTTTAATTTCCTATTAAGTATGAACTCTGGTATGGTATGTAGTATGAACTCCGGTATGCTATGTTTGAACTTTGATGATCTAGTTTAAGCGTGAATTGCAAGTTTGAATATGCGGTATCAGTATGAAAGATCTATTCTGACTAACCGTTCGACGTCGAGCGAAATCCATTTTCGGGATACCGTAAACAAGTTTTGTGGAACGGCCGATTGCGGGATCTGATAGAGATGCTCTAACATCTATTTTTCTTCGTTCCCGCTATCAAATGACAACTCATGTCCATAGTTAGGAAACTTTAACCATCTTTGATCAACGAGCTAGTCTGGTAGAGGCTTACTAGAGACACAATGTAGTTTATGTATTCACACATGTATTTAAGTTTCCGGTCAATACAATTATAGCATGAATAATGAATATTAATCATCAATGGGAAATATGATAATAACCAATTTATTATTGCCTCTAGGGCATATTTTCAACAGTCTCCCACTTGCACTAGAGTCAATAATCTAGTTCACATCGTCATGTGATTAACACCCAATGAGCTCTCGGGTTTGATCATGTTTTGCTAATGAGAGATGTTTTAGTCAACGGGTCTGGAACATTCAGATATGCATGTACGTACTTTGCAAAATTCTATGTCTACAATGCTTTGTATGGAGCTACTCTAGCTAATTGCTCACACATTCAATACGTATCTGGATTGAGACTCAGAGTCATCTGGATCGGTGTCAAAGCTTGCATCGATGTAACCCTTTACGATGAACTCTTTATCACCTTCATAACCGAGAAACATTTCCTTAGTCTTCTTTAGGCGCCTAAGGATAAATTTGACTATTGTCTAGTGACCCACTCCTGGATCACTTTGTACCCCTTGCCAGACTCTTGGCAAGTCACACATCAGGTCTGGTACACATCATGGCATACATTATTAGGGCCTATGGCTAAAGCATAGGGGACGACTTTCATCATTTCTCTTTCTTCTGCCGTGGTCGAGCCTTAAGTCTTACTCAACTTCACACCTTACAATATAGAAAAGAACTCCTTCCTTGACTAGTCCATTTTGAACTCCTTCAAAATCTTGTCAAGGTATGTACTATGTGAAAGTCATATCAGGTGTCTTAGATCTATCTCCATAGATCTTCATGCCCAATATGTAAGCAGCTTTAACCAGGTCTTCCTTTGAAAAGCTCATTTCAAATAGTCCTTTATGCTTTCCAGATATTCTACATCATTTCCAATCAACAATATGTCATCCACATATACTATCAGAAATGCTATAGAGCTCGCACTCAATTTCTTGTAAATACAAGCTTCTCCGTAAGTTTGTATAAAATCAAAAGCTTTGATCACCTCATCAAAGCGTATATTCTAACTCCGAGATGCTTGCACTAGTCCATAGATGGATCGCTGGAGCTTGCATGCTTTGTTAGCATCCTTAGGGTCAACAAAAACTTATGGTTGCATCATATACAACCCTTCCTTAAGGAAACTATTAAGGAACACTGTTTTGACGTCCATCTGCCAGATTTCATAATCATAGTATGTGATAATTGCTAACATAATTCTAACAGACTTAAGCATCGCTACGGGTGAGAAAGTCTCATCGTAGTCAACTCCTTGAATTTGTCGAAAACCTTTTGCGACAAGTCGAGCTTTATAGACAGTGACATTAACATCAGCGTCTGTCTTCTTTTTAAAGATCCATTTATTCTCAATGGCTTGCCGGTCAACGGGCAAGTCCACCAAAGTCCATACATTGTTCTCATACATGGATCCTATCTCAGATTTCATGGCCTCAAGCCATTAGTCGGAACCCGAGCTCATCATTT